TGGTACAAGCTATGTAGAGTGGTTGAATCACTTTAAACATGCTTCTTCTGAGTTGATAGGTTGAGTGTGTGCAGATGGAGCTATTGAGAGGCTCAAGAAGGGTTGGCATTGTGAAAAAGCCTGCTGTACAAGAATGGATATGTTACTTTTTGCAATTTCAACCATAAATGGTATCAAGACTTGGACAAAACATCAAATCCTTGTGTAATACACTTAGGGTCTGTGTAATTACTTAATTATGGAGAGATTTAGTAGCAACATGGCCTGAAAAGTGAGATTGAATGATAAGGTTATGAGATTTAATTATGAGTTCATCACGAAAATGACTTATAATTCAAGTTTATCATGCCAACTTCAAGTCTTCGAATCTCCTAGCTCAAAAATGATCTCTTCAAGTTCTTGGATATTTTGAAAAGCTTGTGACATCCTCTACAACTTTTATGTTGGACATTTTTGAAGAATCAATTTGGAACTAGGTGAAAAGTTGTCATGAAGTTAGGTCAAAATCCTGACTAAAATACTCAAAATTTCACTAAGTATTTTTAGTATCATGGACACGTCTTCATAAATTCATAACTTGAAATCCAAGAATTTCTAGAAAAAGTTCTGCCCTACAATGTTTTATATCTCATTGAGATCTACAACTTTCATGTTCGAAGTTTTCCTTGAATCATCTTGCATCATGGTGGAAATTTTGCACAAAGTTATGAAAAAAATGTTAACTTTCCAACACTTAGAAAAAATTTCCAAGTCCTAGAATTTTGAATTTTCAAAGATAACTTTGACTTTTCAATTTCTTGATGAACAAACTTCATATTTTTACATGTCTTGATAAATTGTAATCTTTGAAACTCGATTTTGATCAAAAGTCAAAGTTTGACTTTTCAGTATACATTTGACTTTTCATTAATTGACTGAAATTCATCTGTCAATCCAATGATCTTGAGAGGTGATTTGAACCATGACATTAGGTCAAAATTATGTATTTGAATCCTTGAGATCATGTCTTAACCCAATAAGTCATTTGTTAGGTCAAAAGTCAAAAATTGAACCTCCTTAGTCAAAACCCTAATTTTGACCATTTTGCCATTTTGATGATCTGATCAAAATTCTTGAGGAATTGTGATCCAAACTTGATCAATTGACATATATGAGTTCACCATGTTGATATGGATAAAAAATTATGAAGTTTGACTATAGGTTGGCCACAGTTAACTTTTTATCCAATACAGATGATTTTAGGTCATCTGATCAACTGACTGAGCAAAAATGTGATCCAAAGCTTGAAACTTGACATGAGAAATCTTGAGGGCTCCTAATGATCCATGAAAGTCAATTGAGCCCTTGAAAGTTCAATTATCCTTGTGCAAACTCAAACCCTAATTTGAGTCATCAGTGCTTGAGGAGGTGTCTTGAGCTGATCAAACTTTGTGTAGTCTTGAATCAATGGAGATCTTATGAGAGATTTCTTGAGAAATGAGAGGATAAATTTTGGGTACAACAATATCCAAAAAACGTAAATGCAAATTCTTGATGGAATCTATTGTAATTAAAACTCCGACAAATGATAACTTAGCCACTGGTGAGAAAGTCTAAAAAAATCTAATCCCTCGATTTGACTATAGATATTTGCAACCAATCTTGTTTTGTTCCTTGTTATAGAGCCATCAACCTTATACTTGATTTATTAGACCCATATGCTTCAAATAGGTTTAACATTTGGTGGAAGATCAATATACTTTAGAGTACCATTGGTGGTTAATGCCTTTAATTTAGAATTCATAGTTTTTTTATAAATATTCATATTTACAAGCTTCTTTTTAGGTGTTAGGCTCATAATCTTATGTGACAGACGTGGTGAAGGATTTATGAATAGAAGACAACGACGAAAAAGAATAAAAGGAGAAAATTGGATAAAGAATACCTTAAGAAGTTAATTTCATTGAGCATTTTGAAATATTACACACATAATCTTCCAGGTGAGATGGAGCATGCATGTTCCTAATAGGTCTGGATGAATTTTCATTTTTTGTATGATTTATTGACCAGAATTAGGAGTATGTGAATTTTCAAGATGTGAAAATTCATTTTATGTAGTATAAGTATGTGAAGGCTATGCAAGCTTGGAGTTTTAAGCCTTATGATGTGAAGGCTCATCAAAATTTTGGGAAGACTCAAGTTGTGAAGGTGATATGTCTGAGTTTGAAGATATCTGGTGATGCCAATTTGGTTCATAAGGAAAAATATGCTCATAATAAACACCATTTCTTGATTGAAAAAATGTTCTTTGTTATTGATATCGAAAAAAACAATTAATTTGACTCATTGCTTATAGCCCAAGAAAATTAATTTTATACACCACAATCATGTTTAGTCATGAGTGAATGAAGTTTTGATGCATATTCCAAATTTCCAAAAAAAATTTAATGTGTGTAAATTAGGTTTCTCATTGTACAACAATTAGTAAGGGTGATTATTTTCTAAAATGGTTAAATGGGGATATGAAAATTATATGATTAACTGCATATGACCATAATCTTTTTGGAGTAATAACTTGAAAAAGGAGTTATTTCCCTATGTTTACAGTGTATTAATGTTTCCTCTCTCCACCCTTATGTTTTGTTGGGGAGATTACATACAACTAGTTTGATGCAAAATATAAGGTCAAAACAAAATCTAGTAGAAAGTTGAAAACTATAAGGCCTGATAATGGTACAAAGTATACAGAGAGAGTTTTCAAAAAGTTATGTGATCTGACAGGCATTGTGAGATATTAGACAGTCAGAGATACAACATAATAAAATGGAGTCGCAAAAATATTAAACCGTACACTTTTTGAGAAAGCAAGGTGTATGTGCTCTAATTCTGGTTTAGATTGAGACTGGTGGATAAAGTTGATTGCTACATCTTGTTATGTAGTGAGTAATTTCCCACATTCTAGTTTAGATGGAAACATGTCTTATAGGACATGGTATGGTATGATAATCTCAAATATTTTGGATGCACAACCTACTATCACATCAAGGATAACAAACTTGATAATAGAGTTAAGAAATCTATCTATCTAAGACATGCAAAAGAGGTAGGTCAAAAGCTATCACGTTTTGAGTATAAAAGATTATAAGTTTGTGATAAATAGAAATATTACATTTGATGATGAAAAATATATGGTATTTCGTGTGGACGGTCAATCTATTCAACAAATTTTAAACTCTGGTTGATATTCTCAAACAATCACTATTAATCTTTTTTTTACAACTTGGTTTCACGCCTATATGCGAGTTCACTTGATTGCGCTCATGTTTGTTACTTGTTTGTTTGAATTAATTAGGATCGAGTTCTTTTGTGTTCTTTTGTGTTATTTTGTCCTTTGTATTTTCCTTTGAATTGTTACACTTTATTTGGACTAGTTGTCTTTAGTTTTTATATATTTATTTTTATTTAATTCACTTTCTATTTAGTTAAAAAAAACCTTAATAAATTTCCCTTTTTCTTTTTATAACCAATCCTTAATAAATTTTCATCAGAAAAATATGATTTATGTCATTAAGATACAAATGAACTTTATTATTCGCACACTCGCTCAGGTATCTAACTCTTACATTAATTTATAAATTTATAACGAGTCTAATATATATTACTTATATTTTTCATGATAAAATGAAATAAATTTTGTCATATTAAGAAATATCAATGATGTCAAACCCAATAAAAGAATTAATATTTTAAATAACTTATTTTCAGCAAATTTATAACTATTATCGTATTATAAAATTAAATCTAAAAATATCATACTAGATTATTGTAATTTGTAACCAAATAAATACAAATATATAATTACTAGTATACTATGAGCACAAACACGTGGATTTATCAGTTTTTTATTAATAAAAAATAATTTATTTTCAAAGTGAGAAAAAGTAGATTTGAATTTTTAAACAAATTTTTTTTTAAAAATATAATTGTTATATTTTAAATTTAAATTGTATCATAATTAATTAGATTTGATGGTAAACTAAGAATGATTTGGTTTGATTTGAATTTAAGTTAAGATTTGAACAGATTTAAAAGTAAAATTAAATCGATTTTTATTATATTAAAATAATATAATTGAAACAAATGAGTTTAAATAAAAGATGAAATCAAATTTAAAGGAAAAATATAATAAAGTTTATATTACTATCTTTTCTATGTATTGTTATTAACATGAAACCAATGTATCTACTATCTAGTCTTTTTTAATAAAATATTGATAAAAATAATCAAAATTGTAAAAATTTATTCTTATTTTAAAAAATTAAGTTACTTAATTAAAAAATTTATATCCCTTATATTATTTAAATAAAAATAGACAAAAATATTATAAAATAAATAATTAAACTAAACAATAAAATTGAATTTAAAAATCTATACAAAATTCAATGTTTGTTAAAGAAAATCAACATCCTAGAACATTAAATTTATACTAGTTACCAGATTAAAGATATACTTACAATAAAAATAAAAATATAAAAACAAAATAATCATTTTAATTTGAAAATCATTCAAAATTTACATATAACTTATTATAGAGTTTGAACTTAAATAATAACAATATCAATTTTATAAGATGAACTAAAATTTATGGATAATAACTCTTTTTAATATATATATATAAAATATTAATATTTTTTACAAATTATAAAAAAAAAATCCTAATCATATTTTAATTTATTAGTAATTTATTTATATACAAAAAATTGAAAATATAGATGAGGGTAATATGGTAATAGCAGAAAAGGATAAATACGCGTGATTTACGGTGAGAGTCGGTTAGTTTGGCTATAAATACAAAGCCTTACCCTAGTTTTTTCTCATTTGTCATATGCGATTCAGATCTTAGGGTTTTCTTTTCTCTCTGCCCCCTTTTATCGCCGCCACAGATCTATCTTAGGGTTTTCTTGCTTCTTCTCTAAATCAATCAATCAGATTCTTCAATCGAAGACACTCTTTGATCCAACATGTCTCGTTGCTTTTCTTTCCCACCTCCTGGCTATTTGAGGAATACCGATACCTTGATCGAAGAATCGATTAAGGTTGGTTGTTGAGCCTGTTTCCATTTTGCGTTTGTGCTCAACTTCTTGCTGTGATTTTCATTCTTTGTTTTTGTGTTTTGTGACATGATATCATGCCAGAGTCTGTTTCTTTGAAATTGATCGAATAATCGATTAGGGTTTTGTTTAATTTCTGACAATGATTGTTGGTTATGATTAGTATTAATTAATCTCATCAAGAACGTTTTATAATTTGGTTTCGATTCGTTACAATGATCTGGGATTCTTGAATCGATACTTGTGAATTTCTTGTGAATAGATCTGGATTATATTAATTAGGGTTTCCTTTCGTAGTGTGTTAAATGGGGTTTTCAATTAAATTAGGGTTTTCTTTTGTAATTTGTTAAAATGGGTTTTCAATAAAATATAATGCCTAAGATAACACATTTGGGTTTGATAAACCCATGTAGTTCTTTTGAAAATGATTTGTTGGTGGGGATTGTCTGACCATCTAATTTTAATTAAAATGAAGTTAATTTTCTTAGCAAAAAAATAAAGTAAATTTTCTCAAATGAACCAAATTTATTGGTAGACATGTATATTCATGTTAGAGGTAAGGTCATTTTGGATTTATGTGACTGATTATGCTCGATATGAGTAAGACATTGGTAGTCTTAGTTTTATCTAGGTAGTGATTCTTGACATGGATAGTAATTGTTTTTATGTAGGTAGTTCTTGATCTTCTGTTACAATATTGTGGCATGATACTTAAGAGATTTGATTACTTGATTTTTTTCGCTATCTGGTCTTGAAGCAAGATTGAAATGCTTGCATTTACAATGTCTGCTTCTTTAGTATTTCCTATCCTCTATTTGAAAATCTTGTTATGGTGCTTTAAAGATCCAATTGGATACGGAGAAGCCCAATAAAGACAGGAAGGAGAAAAAGGACAAAAAAGATAGGAATGAGACTAAGGAGGAGAGGAAGTTGAGGAAGGAGAAGAAGAGGGAGAGGAAGGAGAAAAGGAAAAGGGAGAAAGAAGAGACTCAGAAAGATTCAAAGCTCAAGCTTGTGAATGAAGAAAAGGAACCAAAAGACAATGTGAAGTTGCAAAAGGGTAAATATTATGAGAATGAACATGTTGAGAAGAGTGATATTACGGAGGAACTTGACAAACCTGTCTCTTCTCCTCAAGAGCCTTACTCATCTGACAGCTCTCAAAGCAGCAAGAGGAAGAGGGACACCTTGTTACCTAGCAAAGATAATGGTGAGATAGCTTTAAGATTGATTAATTACATTGTTCAGCTTATGTTGAAAAATAGCTAATGTGTACTTTTATGTGAAACAGGAACCGGCATTAGAATTCGACTTCCATTGAGGAAACATAAAGAACCTGAGGAAGTCAAACGAGGGTTTCAATTGGGTTCTTCTTCAAGAAGTGTTGGAATTTCAGATTCAACTACTCAGGAATCAAGAAAAGTTCAAAGGCCACTGCAGGGTGTCACAAAAGTTGAGAACACAAATCAGCTCCCTGGAAATTCTGCCTCTTGCAGGCCACTATTGAAAAAAGTTGAAACTCATTCTTCCTCCCAAGTTTGCCGACCACTATTGGAAAAAGTTGAAACTCATACTTCCTCCGATGTTTTCATCAGACCACCACAGAAAAAAGTTGAAACCCTCCTCCCTGGAAATTCTGCTTTCCGAGTTTGCAGACCACAACCATTGAAAAAAGTTGAAACCTCTCTCCCTGGAAATTCTGTTTCCCAAGTTTGCAGACCACCACCATTGAAAAAAGTTGAAACCCTTCTCCCTGTAAATTCTGCCCCCAAGGTTTGCAGACCACCATTGAGGAAAGATGAGACCCTGAGTCAGTTCAATGCAAGTTCTGCCTCCAAAGTTTGCAGACCACCATTGAGGAAAGATGAGCTTAATGTAAATTCTGCTTCCAAAGTTTGCAGACCATCGTTGAGTAAAGATGAGACCCATAATCAGCTTAGTGTAAATTCTGCTTCCAAAGTTTGCAGACCAACGTTGATTAAAGATGAGACCCATAATCAGCTCAATGCAAATTCTGCTTCCAAAGTTTGCAAAGCATTGAATAATTTGGTTCCTGTTGATGCTCCTTCCAAGCCATTGAAGAATTTGGTTCCTGTTGTTGCTCCAACAGCAAATGAATCAGTTAATGAAGAAAGTCGAAGGATGGAATCTTTATATAACTCCTTACTTACCATTCCACCGATAAAGTATGATTGTTTTGATTCATTGGATCAAGATTGGTTATTTAGAGCAGAGCCTGTCTCCAAGAAAAAGAAGATTGATGATGCCATTCAGTGTTCAAAATCTCTATGGCCTCCTAGGGCTCAATATATGCCTGAGGTTGAAATGTATGCTTTGCCATTCACAGTTCCATTTTGATTCATGTGGAATTTTTTGTAGGCCCTAGAGTTAGCTTTTTTAGAAGCCAGTGTTCTGCAATATTGAAAGAACCCTGCATTATTTTTTCTGAACAGAAAAACATCTATATAGATATCATTGTGGCACAGAATGATTGATTATTGATGTATGTTGTTTTACTACGATACCTGGCAGTGGTATTGGGAGAAAGTCTTGTACATACTGTGAAAAAAATACAAACTTTTAATTCATTTATTACCACTGATGTGGTCTGTTTCAGTGTCATTGTCATTGATGTAAGGTTGGTTCTGCATAAAGTGAATTGAGTGGAGTTCTGAAATGATTGGAAGTGAATTGAGTTGAGTTCTGAAATGATTGGAAGTGAATTGAATTGAATGAAATGTAACTTGTGTACGCCTTTGAAATAAATTGGTTGAAGAGGAACCAAACATATCAAATTTAATTTTATATTCTAGAATAACTTTTGTCTAATATTGAGGTTGAAAGCACACGAAAACTTACTCATCCCTTGTCCCACCAAATATGAGTATAAATGGTCCGGTTTATATTGAATTTCATTAAGAAAATGCGGTTTTCAATTAAAAAAAGAGTAAACTTACTCATCCCTTGTTCCACAACTTAGGAGTGTAATATTTCGGCTCGTTTATGAATAAATTATTCCATCCTCTATTTTTCTAACACCTCTAAATTGAATTATTAAATAAGTATACCAATATATTCAATATTTAGTAAAAAAATTTAACATATTCAATTTTCAAACGACTTTTAAGTTAAAGGAAATAAATCTATACAATATATTTAATACTTAGTAAACTCTTATAACATATTTAAAATATGATAGTTCGACATTCATTATAAATATTATTACTTCCGTTTCTTTTTTATAAGACACTAGCCATTTTAAAAATGGAGGTAGTGTCATTTTAAAATTAAACTTCATAAAATTAAAAATATATTAAAATAAAATTTTAATTCATTTTAAAAGATGAAAAAATAAAGATAAAAGATACAAAATTAATCAATAAAATATGAAACATAAATACGATAATTAATGTAGAGGTTAGCCAATGGAAATGATTGAAATAGATAGAAGATGATGAATGATAAAACTTATAATTTGTGATAGGCAATAAATCTTTATCTTAAAATTTGTTGTAATTTATGAAGGGAAGAAATGAAGTGAAATGAAGTAACATATACGTGTTAATCTCGCTTGATTCTATCTAGATTCTCAAATGTTTTCGATTTTAGAAAATAAGTGGTGTTTCATTGACATCGTTTCATATATTTTTTCGTTGTGATATCAGGTACTAACTCATGCTCTTTGGCCGTAATATAATATATTTTGTACTTAATTTGAGATATCAATGCAAAAAAAATCCTAGAATCTATTTTGTGTTTAACATCACAATTTAAAAGAATGCTAGAGGCCAAAAAGATCAAGGAATAAAAATTGCAATAAAAAGGCTAGAGATTCAACATGTTATGCTTTTTCAAAGAAGTTGCAACTTGCACAACAAAGACAAGGTCAAAGATTCAAAAGTCAACATCTTAAATTTATGCATTTTGTTTTGGATTTTTAATTTGTGTGATCAATTTAATATGATCTTTACATATCATGACATCCTGTTTTGGATGATTTATAATTATGCTTTTGAATATGTAAGACTTAGTATATTTTGAAACTTCACCCTTTTAGGTATATAAGAATTGATGCATTGATAGGGAACGCTTTATTTTGAATGTGAGTAATTGATTAAAAAGAAAATTATATACTACACTTAATATTACATAGAAAAACCACATTACATTGATAAATTACATTGCAAACCATATTATAATATGCATAACATTGTCAAACTCTATTACAAACACATTATCTTTTGAGGCCATAATTTCGAATGGTGGTGGGGGCGATGAATAGATTATTTTCTAAAAAATATTTTGAAAATTAGAGTTTAAAAAAAAAAAACACAAATAACAAACAAAAATGAAATATAGAAGATATTTTATAAAAGATACGATTAAATGAGTATCACATTTAACTCAAATTGTCATAAAATTCAATAACTAAGAAATATGAAGTTGCTTAAATAAACAATATAATAATTATCGTAATTCAATTTTCACAAAAGACTCAAATTGAATTTGATTAATAAAATGATCAATCTAACAACAAAAAATTTTACAATCATAATCGCCAGAAAGAATATTGAAATGATTAGATTACTATCATATCCAAATTTTACACAACAAATTGCTATGAACAAATTTAAGCCTAACAACATGCAATTTCTAAGAAAGTGGTAAAAACCTAAAACATGAAATTATACAGAAATTTAAAAGAGATATGGAAAGAGAGGACCGCGCCATAGTTTATAGTGGTTCAACGTGTTTATCCTCGTTTTGCACTTAATCCAGTCTTCAATGACGGACCATTAAAAATTCGTAGTCTTCTACTATTTTTGACAATTTTACAACGTGCAATCAAAGAACCAAATGTGTATGATTCGAGTTAAGAACAACGCATATGATTCAGGTCGAACGAATAAATGATTTGAATCATGAACTTAAAAATCATATTCTACACATTTGCTTTGAGTCAAGGAAATCATTGATTAAAGTCAAACAGCAAGAAACAAAAACTGAAAATTAAATGTCAGTCACAATGTGATTTTGGTAGCTAAAGAATAAGGAGACCCGTGAATTTTTTCCTCATCCTAAAGAGACTCAGCATAACTAGCTTTCTCTTGTAGGGCTGACACTTCCTACTAAAACTCATATCATTTTTGCTAAATAGCTTCACACTTCCCCGTCTAGGAATCCATCTTTTTGAAAGGATTACGCATGAAAAAAACATTCCTCTAGCTAGAAGCAACTAGGGTAAATAGAGAAGCAGTTTGATAAGTGTGAAAAATGGCTACTGAAAAAAGCTTTGTCTTATTCGCTTTAGGAAGAATCTGAAGGTAGGTAAGATCCTATTCATACATCACAGCAGCGGCCTCCCGAGGAGTGCGAGAATCCGGGAAGTTAGAATAGTCGACATCTTAAGAAGAGAAGTGGTAGACTTAGAAGAAGCACCCCCAGACAATTGAGTCCGTTTAGCTAAATCTTTCTCTAAGGGAGGACTTTGATCCTGGTCCCGCTCCCTTTTTGTATTGGTAGGTGTGATACGGTGGCAGAATCGACTGTTTTGAAAATGCTGGTTTGCGTTTTGCGTTTTTTGTTCGTAAAATGTCGCGGTAAGCAAGAGTCGCCACCGACTTTTATTTTATCCAATCAGGAAAAGGAAAAAGAACAGAAAAAACCTTTTTCGATATGTTTCTGAGTACGGGGGGTAGATTATAGAAAGGGAAGGTGTTAGCATCCTTTCCATCCATGGTTTTCCATGGGCTCTTAGGTACTTGCTCATTTTTAAAATTTGCTTGTGTATATGCTTTGTTTTGAAAAGTTTTGACTTACTTAGTTTTAACCCGTGTTTCTGTCCTCAAGAGTGTTACGAAGTTGTTTTTGAAAACTTTGTCTGAAAAGTGTTTGGTGTGAAAAAGTTTGTTTGTTTTGAGCAAGTACCTAAAAGTTATCTACCTACTCGAAAAAATTCTGTTTGTTTCCTCCTATCCTTTAGACCGTGTTATCCTACTATTAGTGAGTAGGTAACCCTAGTCGTTGGATGTTGTAAGGGTCAATTTGTAAGGGACATACGATCACCAAATAAATGTTAGGATGTCTTAGTAATAACCCTAAAGTCTTAAGATCATATTCGAGGCAACATTTTCGAGGAGATGTTTCCGATGCAACATTTTTGAATGGGACTTTTGATCTTTGTTTAGACAGGAGGGCAACCACTAAGACACTCTATACTTAATGATCGTTTACCGAAGGCAACCGAAGTGAGAGTATACCCTAGGAGTGCACATGTGCGAGTGATTTGATTTCAGTTATTATCTTTGCACATTAGGGTTTTTCTAACTATATTAAATTATCATGCAATCTTGTCATACAATCCTATTAACATACATCTAAACAGCTAATATTTGCGAGAATTGAAATGCGAAAAAATAAACCTACGCTATTACAAGGCTTTGGGGTAGGGATTAATTACATAGCCAAAAACCCGTAAAAACGATAAATAAAGAAAGTCCTAGATTAAACTATTACATACCGTGGACAGTTACATCAATATTGTCAACAAAAAAAAAATAATCAGCGCGCGGCGAATTAAATACGAAGCGACTAGGATTTTGACCCTTGACTAAACCTGATTGTAATTGATTAAAGTAAACATATTTTTTGTCATTTTTTATTATTTAAGAAAGTAATGAAATATTTGAATTAAAAAAAGAAAATCCTAAATTTTAATTAATTTTAATTGTGAAAGAAATTAGAATTGCCTTAAATTAATTAAACTAATTCATTAAAAAACTTATTAAGAAAACAAGTCTTCTTTTTGTGATTTTGGTTGGTTAATTTTAGAAAGAAAAAAAAGTAATTTTGGTGTTGATATAAAAAAAAGAATAATTAAAGAAAAGAAAATTAAAGAAAAATAAGAAATAACCCCAGGGCCTGCTGTCAGCGGCTCTGATCTGAGGATGATGGTCCAGAAGATGGTGGCCCTCAACAGATGGGGACACCGGGCCTGCTCTTGGCTGGCGGATCCAGCAGATTATGACCCTCAGAAGATGGGGGGCGCTGGATCTGGCTCTGAATGATGGATCCAGAGGATAATGCCCAGAAGATGCTTGATCTGATCCTGGTTGATGGGTCCAGAAGAAGATGGCCAGAGGATGCTTGATCTAGTCCTAGCTGATGGGTCTAGAAGAAGATGGCCAGAGAATGCTTGATCTGGTACTGCCTGATGGAACCAGAAGATGTCCAGAGAATGATTGATCTGGTTCTGGATGATGGAACCAGAAGATGACCCTCAGAAAGTGCAGGTGCTGGATCTAGTGAAAACAAAGGGGGAAATGCCAAAAGCTCACGCCTGAGATCGAACCCATAATCATGAGCTTCTGACTTCCTTCTTCTGACCAAATGTGCTGGACGTTAGTTTATCAATATAATAGAAACAAACAAATATATCAGAACTACAAGTTTCTGGCCAGAACAACGCGCCAAAATTTGAATCAGCCAGTCAGGCTGTGACACGCTATCATCTTCCTCCATGGAACTGTCGTTTAAAACTCTGAACCTTTACCTACAGACATGACGATGTAGCTATAACCCTGTGTATTTCCAAAATTGCATACAAGCAATATAAATAAGTTTCAAAACCATGGATCGACTGGGTTTGACCCTCTGATCACAATGGTATCCTTTATTAGGGCCAATTGCTCCTGCATTTAAAAACCCTAAAACAACAAGGCAAACCCTAGCTATGGCAGTTTTTCATACACTCGCCGAAAACATAATTGAATATGATGATTAGCTTGCAAATATGTTAAGGAA